GTCTTACTAAGGCTTTATAGAGTGGTATTACTAGTACCTTTCTTGATCTTGATTGTATCCCTCTGTTAATGCAATTTAGGATTGCATTGGCTTTTTTGGCTGCTGCAGCACACGGCTGGCTCCTATTTAGCTGGTTGTCCACTAAGACTCCAAAATCCTTCTCACAGTTACTGCTGTTGAGCCTGGTTTCACCCAGTCTATATGTGTACTTTTGGTTTTTCTTGCCTTAGTATAGGACGTTACTTTTCTCTACATTTAAATTATCTTCATTGAATTTCTCTACATTGAATTTATTAAGCAGGACAGTTAGTAAATGACTCACGCCTGATTATTAGGACTATTTTTGCTATGATTGTGAGTAAATCACTGCAGTTGTTAAGTGAGTTATGCCATCGTTAAGTGAATCCAATTCTTCCATTGACTTTATTTGTCGGAAGGCATCTGGGAACGTCACAAATCATGGGAACCTGTAACTCTGCGACCATCATAAATATATGCTGGTGGCCAAAGTGCCTGGATTTTGATTATGTGACTGTCATGTTGTGATAGTCGTAAGTCTGAGGACTGGTTGTAAATCACTTTTTTCAGTGGAGTTGTAACTCTTATGGTGACTAAATGAATGGCAGTAAGTAGTGCCTGTATTGATTAAGCGCTTCCTCATTCTTATCTTGCCTGGCTTCATTGGGATTCTGTGGTTCTCGAATAATGCTAGGCTGATAGGTTCTCTTAATTCTTCTTAAACACTGATTTTGACTTTGTTGTTCCTCAGTGGGCCACTATCTAAAAAGGTTAAAATCATGGCAACTGGATCAAACTTTGTTAATCTGAGACCTTCCGTTACCCATCCAGATAACTTCATCAGTCAAAATGGGAAAATTAGTCAGTCAGAGAGTCTTTGGAATGTACTAAGTCTTGCCACGCCAACTGAAGTGGTTTCTCCCCAAAACATATTTCAATATATCAGTGAAAATTCAATCATCCAGGCCAAAAGAATCCCAAAAGGTTAGACATCATGGCACTGGAGCGAAGTTTGTTTAATCTGAGACCTTTTGTTGCTCATTCAAGTAACTTCATCGGTCAAAATAAAAAAATCAGTTAGGCAGAGAATTGTAACGGGCCACTACTTAATTCATTTCACCTTACTCTTTAGTACCATTGGGGTCAGAGGGAATAGCTTCTCCTTACAGACCTACAATCTAGAAGAGACAATGGAGGAAAAAGTGGAATTTGATGGGAAGAGCAAATAAAGCAGTTCTTAATATGATTTGGCAGTTCTTATGTAATGGGTGGAGTTTGGAGATAGGAAAAATCCAGAGATCCAGCTGCTCCTTCAATAGTCTTGTAAGAAATTCATTTTTCCTGTGGCAGCGTGTGCATAGAGGCTACAGGATACTGTAACCAAAAGCCTTCTCTTTGCCATAAGTGTCATGACGAGAGAGGAGATGGTGAATTCTAATCCTGCCTTAGCCATAAAAGCTGGCTGGGTGACTTTGGACCAACCATTAGAAGATAATGAGTTCTAGTTCCACTTTAGGCATGAAAGCTGTCTGGGTGACTTTAGGCCAATCATCAGGAGACAGCGAGTTCTAGTCCTGCCTTAGACACGAAAGCCAGTTGGGTGACTTTGACCAATCCCCAAGAGACAGTGAGTTCTAATCCTGTTTTAGGCATGAAAGCCAAATGGGTGACTTTGGGCCAGTCACTCTCAGCCCAACTCCTCTCACATGAAAACAGGAGAAGCAGGAAGGTGTATTGGTTATGTTTGCTGCCATGAGTTATTTGTAAAAAATAATAAAGGTGGGATATAAAAAAATGTCCCCTGGGCTGTTAAAAGGCCAGTTTGGCTCTACTTACAGTGTCACAAAGGCAAGATTAGTGAAAGTTCTCAAAAGACCTTGAATTCTCTCCATCCTTCCGAAATTAAAGTGTGCCAGTCTGTGCTGAGCTTTTCCTTATTGGCCAAGCCCTTTACTTCCAGCCCAATGGCTAAATTCTGAATCACACCAGCCAATTAAGCATTCTTTGGTAGGCTGCTGATGGTTTAAAAGGGACACTTTGAATGGCTCCGAATGCAGCACGTTGCAAACACCTAATCAGGATGACAGGAACAATTTTAGCCATTCATAATTCTTTATAGCAGCTGATTAAAATCTCTTTATCCTGCTTACCGAGATCAGAAGGTCACATGGCTGGGAAGTAAAAAAACAAATTACGGACCTGGTGATAGATAACCAGATAAAAAGAAGCTGGCCTTAGTTCTGACAAATCAAGCTCTTTTGAAAAATTTCTTGGTATTTCTGTAGACTAAGCTACCCGTTCTTGGTTCTATAGAAAAACAAATGGGCAAACACACACACACACACACACACACACACACACACACACACACACACA